TTAGATTGATAGCTTTTTAATCTGTTTACTTAATGGGCATATGTTAAGACATCTGTTTTTAAGGGCAGGAATTGAAAAAAAAAAACTATTTTGTAGGTTAGATCTTTTAAAAATATCTTTTAAAAATTAATTCATGTAGTAATTTTATGTTAGCACAAATGAGCAACCAAAATTGTAAATATAGAGTTCTTTACAAAATTGTTGTGCTTGCCATGATGATAATAGCAATTGTTATGTATCATGAAAATGGGTTGGTTCCCTTCTGCTAATAGGGAGAAGTTCTCACCTAGCAGAGGAGATCTCTAAATCTAACCCATTTTCTCTTTGTTCTTACATTGGTAGCTGCTAATTATTGGAACATTTGTGTCAAAACAGTTGTTTATATTTCAAAAGTACTATAATAAAAATGCAATTATAATAGTGTTTCATCTTCAGCCAGTTCTAGTTAAAAATTTGTCTAAGAAACATTTGCTGCACATATGGTACTGTAAAACATACTTTCTCATATGTCCTGCTGCTGAGTGTAATATTTTCTTTACATTCTTTCTTTTTGCTGAAAATTGATATCTTTGTCTCAAGGGAAGTATTAAAAACTACAGTAAGTTTAAAATTTGCATATTGTTAAAAAGTTTTCATTTAATATAGTGTTACTAGTCACTGGGGAACTTTTTATGTGAAAGCTGTAAGTTTAAAAGTCGCTGTAGTTCAGTACAGTAGCTGTGCGTCATGTCAGACGAGACTTGTTTTAAGATGAAGTTATTCAAAGATTCTGCAGTACAGATCATGATTACTTCTCCTGCTTTTAAAACCAGTAAATCACTTAAAGATTATCACATTATTCCCTTTTTGTATTTGAGCAAGAAGGTTGTTTTTTTTTAATCTGCCTGGTGGATTTGGCTACATGTTGATAAGTCATCACCCTCTTCTGTCTTAAGGCTTTTGGAGGTAAACAGGGATGCCAAGAACCACCATGGGCCTCCAAACAAAAATTCCTTCTGCCCCCCCCCCCACTCTTCTAAAACAAGTATTGTAGCAAAACAAATCATTTGGCTTTCTGTTACAATAGCAATAAACCAGGAGCAAGCAGAATCAGTGCCGTACCAGTACACTGAAAGCACACTATCAGTTAAATATAGGCGAGTTACCTGGGAATAAGCCCCATTGAATAAAGTGAGACATTAGTCTCAAAAAGTAATACACTGAAAAAATACCTCCAAGGACTCCACCAAGAAGGTTAAAAATTTTGTGGCCGTTGTTTTAGTTTTTCACTAAGAGTAATTAAAAGGCATAAAATAATATAGTTAAGATACATGAGAAACAGCTTGGGATAAATTTAAAAAATCTCTTTATTAATTATGTATTATTTGGGCATGAGTTCAAGGAGAAGGAATAAAATAGTTTCTTAAGCTACCACTGGTAATGACGAAGGAAATTCTTTTTGTTCTTAACACTTATAACGTAAGCAGACATTGCCAGTGATATGGTGTATTAGAGAATGTATTAATTTGTATAGCACTTTAAAATGTATGATTTGTGTTGCAATCATGTTATTTGGAAAATAATAAAATATTTAAAAAAAAAATAAAAATATTTAAATCCCCCACCAAGGAAATTCACAGCAATATGAAGATACTTTAAGGGGGATGCAATATTGGGGAGGTTATCCTCCAGGGTGAGGAGGCAGGTGAACTGATTCTCCATATGCTGTAGTCTTCCTGTACCTGCCCTAACTTTAGAAAGTGATTTTGGTCCCTGGATGCTGAAATGCAGCTAGCTCCAGCTCTCTCTTTACATCCCCTCCTCTCCCCTCCCGTAGCTGAAAGCAAGAGAATAGTAGCAGATTGGACAGTTGTAATGACCCTTGGAATTAATTTTCAGGGTGACCCTATCTGTGGCTACTGTTGAGGTTGAAGAGGCAGAACTGACTAGATCTTTTGGGAGCAATCCTAAACAGGTCTCCTTAGAAGTAAGGCTCATTTCATACAACAGGGCTTACTCCTATTTCACTTGCATATGTGCTTTTTAAAATTTAATATATAATGTTAAGTAATTACAAGGTGGCATAGCTCCATAGCGTGCATTTTAATGGGAATTACAACTGCTTCCCTTCCTTAAATACTTTTTTCCATGTGTGCAGCTACATCTGCAGACTGAGAATTCACTCTGTGCATCTGATGAAATAGATTCTAGCCATGAAAACTGAAATTACAATATATATCTGTGTTTTTTGTTTATTTGTTTTATGGTGGCACAAAATTGCTTTTTGGTTTTGCAACAACATTCTAGAGGGTACCCATCTAGAATCTGCCTATTCTAATTACTCAGTTTGTGCCCAGATTTCTCTAAGGCTCAGCCCAAAAGTTTATTTTCAACACAGGCTGAGTTCTGGAGGAAAAATAGTTCTAGGCATTTGCAGAAAGTCTTTCCCTCGAAATGGGAAAAATGGCTGTCTCTTTTCTTCTCACACACTTTAACAATTCAGTATCATACTTAAAGATTCCGAGGAGGTATCAGGATCACTGAATTATATTTTTAAATCCCTCTGTAAAAATGAGGAGGGGGGCTACATGCCCTGTTCCTTTCATAAGAATAAAATAAGAGGCATGCTGAATCTTACTAGAGATACAATGTCCTGTTTCTGATTCTGGCTAGCCAGATGCTTCTGGGAGTGGCACCAGCAGGTAACAAAGGCAACAGCTGTCCCACACAGTTGCCCTTCAAAACTGGTATTCAAGAGAATACTGCCTCTGAACATGGAGGTTCTGTTTGACAGTCATAGCTAATGGCCACTCGTGGACCTGTCCACCTCCATGAATCCAGCTAATTTCCTTTTAACAACTTCTAAATCAGTGAATATCACCTTTTATTTAGTACTGTATTCAATAAAGGGTTATGCCCTTTATTCTCCTCCACTCATCCAGTATTCTATAGGCCTCTCTATATAGCTTATATCTCTATATAAACCTTCATAATTGTGTAAAAGAAGCATAGGCAGCTTTCCTTGCTTCTTTCCATCCCACCTGTTCCTGCCAAAAATAGCCTTCTCTTCTATAGTCTTCTCAAAACTCCTGTTCTCTGTGTATCTTCCCCTGAGGATTCCCTGTATGAACTACTGAGCTTACACAGCCTGTGTCTCTTACTATTTCACTATATAGCCATGCGTCTAATTTTGTAATTTTATATTTATATTCACACATATATAAGTCTACCAGTACAAATATACTTCTTATATCTGATGAAGTGGCCGCCAGTTGAAGCTTAATGTCTACAATAGCAAAGTTGCATTCACAAAAGGCCAGGCATCAAATGTCCCACCAATACAACAATAATAGCAAAACCTATTGCCTGAGCAGTGTTTAATATGCAATTAAAACCTCTTCTGACTATTTGGGGGTGGGAATAGTTCTATCTTCATCATTGTGGTATCTGTGCAGTTCCACATGGGTACTGTGCCCAGGGAGGCCCACTGCAGAGAGGTTTTTGAACAGCTGCGAGTTCTCCATTCCACTCCTCCACATTGTTTCTCACTTTTTCCAGCATGAAAAGGAGGGGGCAGAGCGCCCTTCCTTCAGTTCTCTCACGCCTGCTGCTGAGAGAGGTTTGTTAGTAGAACTTCTGTCTCGTCTTCACCAGCATGAACTGCCAACAATTTCTACCTGAATTATCTGGGACTCAAAGACTTCTTTATATGTCTGCTATGTGGTCCTTAGCGGCATAATGATGACTGAATTTTGATGTGTATCAGATGGCATGTCAGAATCAAATCAAATGGTAGCTTTTGATCCGCTGAGGGTGAAACTGCACATTGTGATAAATATTATATAAATGTAAGCATGCTGCCCAAAATGGCAGCTCCATGGGAAGGTCTGCCAATTCCCCCTTTTCTTCCACAAGTTGCAGTAAAACTTGCTTTCGTAAGATGACATTAGCTTTTATGTTTCTCCACCTCACTAAGTGGTGGTGGGGGGAGATGGCATCAGAGCTCAGATAAAACATACTGCACATTAAAGAGGGGACAAGTTGGTGTGGGGCTGCCATTTTTGACAACAGACCCATCTCATTGGTGTCCCATCAGACCCATCACATTAAAGAGAGCCAGTTTGGTGTAGTGGTTAAGTGAGCGGTCTCTAATCTGGGAGAACCGGGTTTGATTCCCCACTCCTCCACTTGCACCTGCTGATGTGACCTTGGGTCAGTCACAAGCTCTGGCACAGCTGTTCCTGAAAGAGCAGTTTGTGTCAGAGTTCTCTCAGCCCCACCCACCTCACAGGGTGTCTGTTGTGGGGAGGGGAAGGGAAAGGAGTTTGTAAGCCACTCTGAGGCTCCAAGTGAAGGGCAGGGTATAAATCCAATCTCTTCTTCTTCTTCTTCTTCTATTGTAATGTGTAATTCTGCCCTGAGACCATAAGATAATGATGGTTCATGTAGGTTGAGCTGCTCCTGTGAATGAATCAGCTACTGTTCAGTTTGCTGTTGTAGCAGCTAGAAGTTCTTAAAACCTTAATATTATATCAGCGTTATGCATTTTGTATATGGAAACTTTTAATAATACATGCATAGTAGAGGAGAAACGAGTATCTGTCACAAAGAGAGAATAAAAACTTAAACGAGATTTCAATTACTGGAGGAGAAAGATGATAGAAATAGCTCTAAAATAACAGATTATAAAGGCTGCACCATCAAGAGCATTTTGATAATGTTTCTGATTCAGTAGCAGTGGTAAATCATCAGTAGTATCTGATGAAGTGTGCTTGCACACAAAAGCTTATAACATGAATAAAACTTTGTTGGTCTTAAAGGTGCCACTGGACTCAAACTTTATTCAGTAGTAAATATGAACATTGTAGTTATGACTAAATGTAAAAACTAAGTTCTGAGAAAGTCACAGAAAGTTTCTGTGAGCTGCTTTCAGTATTATCTCTCCCCTGCATATAGTTTTGGGAATTCCTTCCCCAAATAGGTTTAAGCATCTTTCATTTATCACTTTTTTTGTTTTCTAGGTCCAAACGGTCTCATGTTGCAGTAAAAGAATGTATATTTGAGCTTCCAAATCTGACCATCCAAGCAACAAGAGCCCAGACATTTCTACTGCAAACTATTTGGCAGAGTTGGGCTTATATTGGAAGTGTTAATTCGCCAGTTGTAAATGAAGCTTTGCTGAATGAAGTCTTCCAGCCATCAGGTAAAGACCAGTTTTTTGTTCCAGACTTTGTAGTACATTTGTTATCTGTACCCCTATGTGCAGTTGTCTGGGATACTTCTAAATCCTACTTTTAAAGCACATTTGAATTGTAAGTCAATTTGTGTTTAATACCTTTATGCTTACACTTAAAGATGAATCAACAGGTTTCAAATTTACGGAGAACTTTTCAATACATTTTAAACTGTTTCATAGTTGGTATAGTGCAGCAGCTGATGGTAATGGCAATTCACACTTTAACTGTGGAATGAAATATACAGGAACTGGTTTCAGTGGTTTTCAGTAGGAATGATTTCATTCTTTACCTCTAGTCTTAACCTGCTGAACTTGGAAAAGGAAGGCTTATGGTTATTGGCGATTCTGTGGTAAGAGACTGCAGTGTAAGTTGAACTGGTTAGGGAGATGAAGCTGTATTTTAGTCCTGGTGTCTAATAAAACTGCAAGCAGCATTGGCTTAGTTGCCACTGCAAGGTGTGGTCTAGTTCCAGCAGCTCTATTGTGTTAATCCTTTAATGGCCAAATTATGTCAGGTGGTTAGGATGCTTACTTAAGTGATACTAGCTAGATGTCTTACTGCATCATTTAAGGACTGGTTTGATCCTTCTGGAAATCATCACAGTGCATACATAAATTACAAGGTAGCAAAAAAGTTGGAAGGTGCTATGAAAATGTGACTGATCGTGAGGTGGGACAAGTTTGGCATATTTCTCAAGACAAATTAATGTAAAAGGCAGAAACTAACTGAATATACAGTTTTGTGTACAGGTGAAACATCCTTTGTCAAACCAAATACATCTTTAAAGCAGCTTTGACACATGCTGGAGAGGATAAGATCTGGTAGACATGGAGTTCCATGTGGAAAACTTGTCCCATACACATAGTGTTGGATCCAGACCTCCTTCTGCTAACTCATCTTGCAATGGAGAAAGTCTTGAAATGTCACACTGTTATTGCATTTGATATGGTGTAGACTTTGTGAGTAGAGTCACAAACAGAACCAGGTTATCTCTAATAGGATGCAGCTTATTGGGACTCAAATGAGAAGGAAAAGGGTGCTAAAAATGCACCGCCTTTAGGAGATATGAACCAAATAGCAGGGAGAAGAACCAAAAGATCTGTGGATTCTTAAAGAGTTATTGTTTTCCTTTAAAAATGCTTTGTTGTTTTGCTGCCTCTGTTTTGATGTTGGACTGTTTAATTTGAAAGCACAAAATTACTAGCTCATCCAAACTTGCATCCTGCCAAAAGTATTCAGTTAGTATCTCAGCTTAAGACTCTGTGTTCTTAGACACATAAATGTAGTGAGAAGACTCTTTGCTAGGTGCTAATGGTGACATCTGTCTAATACGGCACTCTAATTCTTGAGTTTCACGCTGGGTACATTACTAATAGGTGTAATTTTGAACAAATTTTGAACCATGTAACAGAACCTAAATCTGTTTTGGTCAGTGTTCTGGACATCACTCATAGTGTTCCAACCTGTGCATCCGCTGGATACTTGCAGGGAAAAAGCGCCACAGATATGGTAATCTTTATCATAGTTCAGTTATTAAGCCACTTCCAGAGGATGATCCTGGTGCCAGAGACTGAATAAGCCCAAGTGTCACCAGTTTCACTTTTTTTCAAGCCAGGACTGTATTCAAGCTGTATTACTTACTTATATTTATTAGCTTCTATGACCAAAGGTCTTAAGCTCAGTTATAAAAGATGAATATACAACATTAGCCTCATAACAGTAGCTTTCAATTATCCCTCTTTATTTAGAATATTTTTGCTCCCATATTTCAGCATGATTTTCTGAAACAGTGAATAGCAAAACAATCAGTTAAAATGTAAAAATAAGCAAGAATAATTGCAGAATACACGAATATAGTATGTGCAGAAGAAGAAATAAGATATATAGAAGATAACCCAAAATCAGTGTTCCCTGTAAGCTGAGTTACTATGAGCTGCCCCGTTTTTTAACCTCCGGATCACACATTTTTGTCTTAGCTCTGGAAGGATGGTTCCAGAGCAAACTAATTTATGCAGCAGCCAAATCGCTTGCTCACAACTTTAATGCCAGTAGCTCACAAAGTAGAATTTTTGCCCACAAGACTCCACAGCTTAGAAGGAGCATTGCCCAAAATACATTTAATTTTTTCCTAAACAAGACTTGCTCCTAGACTTGGTGAATCTGAGATAGTGGGTGTGAGTTTGCTTATTTATTTAAAGTATTTATACCCTGCCTTATCTCTGTAATCTCAAGGCAGGCAACAAAACAGCAAAAGCTGCAGTTCAACAAGTTAAAACCAAGTTTAAAGTACAGGGTCACTACTGAGAAAGATGTATGAATAGTTGAGGGCAAGGAGGCCTTAGAATTGAACCTTTACATGTGTTGGTTTTAAAAAATCACTATGGTAAACTGTCATTCCTTATAATATCATTGCACACTACCCTCAAAAGTGTTTAGCTGAACCATGAGGAGAGGGAGGCTGCTATCACTCAGCTGGGTCTAGCGGCACCAGCTTGACAGCAAGTCAGAGTTTGGCAAGAATAATTCCAACCACGCAAGTAAACAATACAACTGGATCAAAAAGATCAAGAAGAAAAGCAACTGGAGAATTGGAAACAGCTGAACATGCCATGTTTAAGACAACAGGATACCTGCTGTGATCACCCTTTGGAGGATGCTAGAACCACTTGACAAAGATCTTTATAAAGATGATGTGTGACTGATCATTACAATTCCATATCTAATCTTTTGCTTAAGATTGCTTCTGCCAAGGAAATATTGGAAATTTGCCAAAGTTTTGCACTACTTTATATTGACATGTTGCAATGGGGAGAGACATTGTTTAATTTGTTAGAGGAAGACCAAGGCTTCCTCACAAATACAGGATAGGCTAGCTAAGGCAGTCTAAGACAACCACTATACAGGACTGTTCACCTCTGAGAGTCAAAACACCTGCTGCAGGAGAACTTCACACTGTGAGGGGATTGTCTAAGGACTTTCATAAATCAAAAACAGAAAGGTATAATTCCTTAGGGATGACCAATAAGACTAAGGTTGCTCCACTATCTGGGGCATCAGGGTACAATGGCTGTATTTTTTTGGATGTGGAAAGGGATTTGGAGGTTATATCACCAATGGAATTACTAGACAACCCAGCCCCTCATAAGGTGCAGACTTTTCCTACTAGCAGCCAGACCCTTTCTTTTATATCATGGAACTTAAGGGGCTGGCTGTGTAGAATGAAGGAAATAGGTTCAATTGACTTTATCTCTAAATTTGATATCATCTTGGGTCAGGAAACTTGGTGCACAGGGGAGATGTTCCTAAATGGTTACAAATCATTTGCCCTGCCAGCAGAGGCTTCTCAGCATGGCAGAGCTAAAGGAGGTCTCTGTATTCTAATCTCTACTTCCTTGAAAACAAGAATAGTGGAGCTCCCCTTCTATGAGCAGTTTGCTATGGCCCTGTTACTAAAGTTCCAGGGCATAGATTGCCTAATTGTAAATGTCTATCTGCCCCCTGCTAGAGATAAAGAGCTAACTCAGAATTTTTTCCGAGCTTGAATCTTTCCTACAGCATTTAACAGCAGCTTACCCCTTGGCCCACTTGATCGTGGGTGGGGATTTTAATGCCTGGATGGGTTCTGATTATCCTAACTCTCCCACAAAGGGCAGCCATCATCTCCATGGGGCAAATAGTAAAATGCAATGCCGGAACATCTTTCAAAAGATACAAAGGTTAACTTTGTGGGTCAACTTCTAAGCCAGATAACAAAAAGAACTAAAGGTGAGAATCTTAAACAGATTTTGAGTGTTGTGCTGGGACCGGTTGCAGATTTTAAAGCGGATTTTCTTCAAAGCAAAATGGATGTGATCTTTATGTATTCTGAATATGACCATATTCAGAATACATAAAGAAAAATAATCTGTCCGGGGAGGTGGTGGTAAGATTCTCCAGAAGATATGTGAGGGATCAGATCCTAAAAGCAACAAATGGAACTATCCTTAAAATTGATGGCAAGGAGATAAGAATTTTGAAAGACATCTCCTTTGAAATAAGGAAAAAAAGGAAAAAATACAGAGACTTGGCTTTGTTTCTACAAGAGAACAACATATCCTACAAATGGATTTTACCCGAAAGTATACTCTTCACATTTAAAGATAAGAGGGGGGGGAAATGACTCTGTTATGAAAGCAAGAGAGTTTCTGCAGCAACAATTGGATCCAACAGGAGAAGAGGATGAGAAGAGCAACAAGGAGAGTGAAGATGAAACACTTACTGGAGAAGATTCGGAATGTGGGGCAGCTGCCCCCAAGCAAGGATATCGATTGAGGGATAGAAGAAGCAAATAAGATGCTAATTTTCTCTGAAGTTTGACTTTTGATTTTTCTTATATAATCATTCTTGTATATTTACTAAGTCTTGAATTACTTAAGCAACTTTAACGATCACTTTCAATGTTATAAGTTACTCTTTTTTGTTACTTAGAGCTACTTTATTGTAACCATAGTATGACCACCACCTCTAGGGTTTTTAGTGGTTTGTCTTTACTTTCTCCCGTAGTCTATAGTTTCCCCTTCCCTATTTTCTTGTAGTTTTTAGAAGAAGAAAGAAAAGAACTAAACTTCAGGTCCTGTATGGGTCTTTCCCAGGTGATTACCCAGCTGAATTCATGTACTGGTCTGGGGACAGAATGAGTCTTATTTATTATATAATGGTTTCTGAAGATACAGCCCAATATATAGAACATTTTGAGGTTGTCCCATATTGTGACAGTGACCTGTCCTAGATCTAGATATGCAAACGGCTGAATTGCAGGACAAAAAACAACATAATTTCCACTCAGGTCCTACAGAAGGGGACCGATATTGCCAACCAAAATGGAAGGCCTCTCTGGGCAGGACCTTGGCTGAAATGATGCAGTCAGAACTGATTAATACTGCCTCTGACATATTGTGGGCAACAGAGAACATTGAGTCCTGCCTAG